TGGAAAGCCAACTAAGTAGTCACCTAGGGCCTCAAAAAAATATAGCCCCTCAATTATGTTTGTAGTCTTCGCCCATTATTTTGGCTCAAAAAAATATTTTAGACACAAAAGACCTAATCATATGTAAATTCTTAGAAAAGCCTAAGTAAATCTGAGAGGGCCAATAGTCACTTTCCAATGGTCAAATCACTTAAATATCAAATGTGGCAAGACAATTAAAGTCTACAAATAAAGCTCTCATTCTCTCTCTCTCTCTCCCTCTCTCTCACACACACACACATGCACACTAACTAGTCATATAATTACACACATACACACACTCTACACATGCATACATACACGTTGCACTCATACACACACACACAGACACAAATCACATGCACATCCTTACAATCACACACATACCTACACAAATATTTCTTTTGATTTGTTGTTAATGAAAAATTTGTACTATTTTTTGAATATTTATTACATAAAGGTATTACTTTATTCGGTGTTAATTATTCGTATAGAACTAAAATACAAATAATTCATGAGCTTTTTAAAATTTTTATATCACAAGTTAATCCATATGCAAAGCAATTTGGCTATAATAGACTTCAATATGCAAATGAGTTAAAAGTTTTGTTTGATGGTGCTATAGCTCTTGAAAAAAAAATTATGGGGTCCATCGAAGGAAGGGTTGCCTATGGATGTGGTCGGCTCTCAGTCACAAACACCGATTAATCTTGACTTTGAATCTATTAAGACATCTTCTTCACCAAATGATGTGACAAAACACGACAATAAACGTCAAAAGAAAAAGCAAACATGGTGACCTTGATGAACAACTATTTGAAACTCTTAAAACATTACAAAATACTGACAGACCAAGTATAGAAAAATGCAATCATATTTTGGATGAGATGCAGCTTTTTGAAATGAGTGACCCATTATATTCTGTTGCGTGTAGTGTTTTTTGTGAGAATAAAGCACACAGATAGTAGTGCATGTCATTACGTCAAAAATTAGAAATAGTTAGAAAGACATGAATAGAAATGAATAGCAAGAAACTAAAGTTGCTTTGAATTTTAGAAATTACACAAAGTTAGGAGTACATTTTTTTTAGAGGAACAAGTTAGAAGTATTATGAATGTGAAAGATTGTTTAAATTTAATTTTTTTTTTTATCATATTTGATAGTATTACTTATATTTCAACAAGTATATCATGTATTGATGGTATTATTATCTATAGTATTTTTGAATGTTAATTATTTTGGAAATTGACATACATAAATAAATTGTCTTACGTTAGACTAATTGGATTTTATTAATATTGTTCAACAGTATGTTGTCTGAAAAACAAAAACGTGCATTGAAGGTTGTTGTAACTTATTTGATATTCAAAATATTGAGGAAAAAACGTGGGAGGCCAAACACTAGGGATGGTAGTGTATCGAAACGAGGGCGGGGGGTGTAGCCTCCATCCCTGTACTCGCTTAAAAAAACTTCGTTCATCCCCATTAACGGGTATAATTTTCATCTCTATTCCCATCTGTGGGTAACTTTGTAATCCCCGCCTCCACCCTCGCTCCCGTCCCCGTCCACCTTGCCCTACCCAAGGCCAAACCAACATAATCTAAAATTCTAAATCAATCTAAAATTCTAAATCAATCTAACATTCTAAATAATCCAACATAATTATAGAATATCATAATATAATTAAAAATTTTGTCATCTGTAACATAATCCAACATAATATAATTAAAAGTTTGTCTCTCATGTAAATCCATCAAAACATAATGTAACATAGTAAAGTCCAACATAAAAAATAAAAATAAAAGACACAAAGATCTACATTTTTACAAGCCAAAAATATGAAAAAAAAAAATTTCAAAAAAACAAATTATTCAATAATATGTAGATTTGTATTCACAGCAACATGTATATATACATATAAAATAATAATAATAATAATAATGGGTAAAGCGGGGTGGGGGTAACTGTCAGTTCATCCCCGCCTTCATCTCCGCACGGGTTTATACGAGTATTTTCGTATACGTCCACCGTCTAATACGTATAGTCTATCCCCGGTCCAAACGGGACGGGTTTGAACGAATATCCATTTTTACCCGGTCCACTGCCATCCCTACCATACACTAATGATATGCTTCGTGGGTCTGAATATCTAAATGAAATACTTGATGAAAATCCAATTCGTTATCAAGAGATGTTAAGGATGAAAAAATATACTTTTATAAGTTTGTGTGGTCACTTTCAAAATAGAGGGTGGATTGAAGATAGTGGTTATGTATCCACAGAAGAGAAGATGACAATGTTTCTCATAACATTGAGTCATAACATAAGAAATCATATTTTGAAACAAAAACTCAATCATTCAACACAAATAATACATTAGTACTTCCATGAAGTATTATACGTTATTCCCCATTTTCCAAAAGAGATGATTGTCCCAACAATTTCCAATTTACCTACGAATTCAATCAATCACATAAGTCATCACCATAGGCTTAGAGGAATATTTAAGGTATTGTTTTGTTTTATTTTAACTTCATAGGATATGTAATGATCTATATCTTTTTTAAATTCTCACATTTATATTAACATATTTATTTTTGAAAGGTTGCGGTGAGTGCACTTGATGGAACTCTTATTTATTTTGTTATACCACCAGACGAACAAGTTTCATACTGGGAAAGAGGCAAAGGAAAATGTTTGCAAAATGTACTTATTGTATGTAATTTTGACTTTGTGTTCACATTTGTGTGGACAAGTTGGGAAAGAGTAACATATGATTCAAGAGTTATAAAAGAAACTATGAGTGATCCAACTAATAATTTTTTAATTCTTTTTTCAGGTTAGATGAAAATATTTAATTAATGTTACAAAATATTTATGTAGATAATTTATTTTATATTTGTTGTGCAAATAATTAATTTTTATGTGATGCTACATATACACATATCTGTGAATTTATGTCACCTTATCGTAATTTGCAATATTTGTTGTATAATTTTCAAAATCTTCATCCAAGAATAAAAGAAGAATTATTTAACCAAGCACATGCTAAGTTAAGAAATGTGATTGAACGTATTTTTACAATATTGAAAACTCGTTTTCCGATACTAAAAAAAGATAGCATCATATTCTTTTACTATATAAAAAAATATTGTAATTGCTTGTGTAAGCATACACAATTTTATCTGACAAACCCATACACAATTTTATCCGACGAACCCGTATCACAAATATTTTTTTTGGACTAGTTTAGTAATATCAATGTTGCTTATGGCAATCCCCATCAAGATTTGCATACTTCAACTAGCTTGGAAGCTAAATGAGGAAGAACACAAACTGATCAAATTTTTATGTTCAATTTATGTAAACAAATTGCAAGATAACTAAACTCTTAATTTGTATTTTACCTGTAATTTTTAAAATTTATGATAGTTGACAGCTTTAAGTAATTAATTTAACTTAAATTAATTTTATTATGATGTTTGTTAAATATAAACTAGGAAGCACGGATACTCGTCGGGGGGTCGTCGTGGCAGTGTCGGACACGTGTTTGACATGGATACGTGTCTGACACTTGTAGAAGTGTTCTAAACAGTGACTGTCATTTTTTTTGGTCGGATATGTGGGGGATATGACAGGGTACTTTTGTTATTTTAAAAACTTAGGGAGGTCAAAACGAAAAAAAAAAAAGGTCAAAGCTATGTCGTTTTGGCTTGAAAAAGAAAAAACTAAAGCGTCGTTGATCTGTGAACCGACTCCAATCGACATTCGGTGTGTGAGAGAGAGAGAGAGAGAGAGAGGAGAGAAGAGAAGAGGAGCAGCTCGAGAAGACCAGAGGAGGAGGAGAAGAAGAAGGAGAGGGAAGAGGAAGGGCGACTCACCTGCGATTGCGATATGTGACTGCGATCTGTGACTGCGATCTTCTTCTTGCTTCTATTTTTTTTTCAGATCTACTGATCTACTGTTGTTTTTATCTCTTCACTTTCTGGTCTATGTGGAGTGTGGACTTTCAAAAAATTTGATTAGGTTAATTTAATTGGGGATTTTTTTTGGGTCCGGTGTTGTGTTGCTTGCTGCCTTCGGCATTTTTTTTTGGTCTTGGTCATCTGTGTTGTTGCCTTTCTGTACTAGTGTGCTGCTGCCAACTGGTTTTAAATATTGAAAATTGTTTTTCTAGCTTGCTGCCTTTCGTTGTTGTGTTGTTTGCTGCCCGTTGGTCTTCTCTTGTTTGTTGTGCTTCTATCTTCTCTTTTTTTGTTGTGCTTTCCTACCTAGCTTTTTTTCGGTCATCTGTGTTGTTGCCTTATGTGCTAGTGTGTTGTTGTCTGCTAGTTTTGAAAATTATATATATTTTTTGAATTTTGATCTATTTCAATTTAAGTAATATTTGCTATGTCTTGTTTGTTATTATTAATGTTGTTGTTATATATATAAAAATATATATAATTATTTTAATTAGCTGTATCATCGTCGTACTTGTATCCTACATTTTGAGATTTTGTCGTATCTCCGTGTTCGTATCCGTGCTCCTTAGAGTAATATCAATGTTGCTTAAGACAATCCCCATCAAGATTTGCATATTTCAACTAGCTTGGAAACTAAATGAGGAAGAACACAAACTGATCAAATTTTTATGCTTAATTTACGTAAACAAATTGTAAGATAACTAAACTCTTAATTTGTATTTTACCTGTAATTTTTAAAATTTATGATAATTGACAGCTTTAAGTAATTAATTTAACTTGAATTAATTTTATTATGATGTTTGTTAAATATAAACTATAATATGACAAATTATCAGATTTCAAGTTCCAATTTTATCAAACACCCAATGTTCACAAACTTATTTACATTTCAACACACAAAAAGAAAAGCCTGCACCACAGAGTTCAGGCACACTCAAAGACAAAATCACAAGCACCAAGACAAACAAACATCAGAGAACTGGAATTTCCTNTGTTCACAAACTTATTTACATTTCAACACACAAAAAGAAAAGCCTGCACCACAGAGTTCAGGCACACACAAAGACAAAATCACAAGCACCAAGACAAACAAACATCAGAGAACTGGAATTTCCTTCACATCTTTCTTCGGATTCTCAGTCCTAGGTATGATCACATACAGCACACCATCCTTCAACTCCGCCTTGATCTCGTCGACTTTTGCGTCGTCCGGCAGCAGAAGACTGGTGTGGTAGTCCCCGTAGATGGACGACCACCAGGATTCATCATCATCAGATGATGAACCTTCATCCTCTTCCTTGTGCTCTGCTTCTATTTGCAAAATCCCATCTTCAACAGTGATCTTCAAATCCTCTTTGCTTACTCCTGGCACTTCAAACCTTAGTTTGTAGTGATCATCCTTCTTTTTGAACCTACCCAGGAGCTGTGAAGGCGCCAAACTATCGAACAGTTTGTTCATGTTCTCTGTTGCTTGCATAAGTGCATTTCCAAGCCCTGAGGGAAAGAATTCTGAAGAAAGAATGATGATGAGTTTGTCTAATCTTAGTTCTCATCATGATTACATCAATCTAGTCCAACTGGCAAGGGCAACCAGGAGTCTACCATTGTTGGCCTGGCCTGATCAGCTGTACGTAGCTGAGGTTATTTTCATTACTCAAACATGTTTAAGACTTGGGTGATATCTCAATACCCCGACATGATGCGACGCAAACTCAGTGAGTTTTATGCCCCAATAGTATTACTCAATGACAATATATGGAGCAGCACCAATGGCCAACTCATGACAACAAGGTATCATGAGCATCTCTCTTGTATTCTCCATAATAGTGAATGATAAATAAAAGCAAATGAATAGAAGGAGAGCTAGGTTCCATTTGATAAATCAGTTTTAGTTCAAAACTTGAATTAACAATCATTGCCCAGGAAATTAGATAGAACTTACACAGCATGAAAGTTGAGAACTAAACTGCCAAAAATGAGAAGACTTAAAACTCAAGTGAGAATTGATTCAAACTTAAAAGAAACCAAGTGTAATTAACTCTGAATTTTCAAAACTTCCTCCTCGAAATCCTGTAATGGTTTTTATCTTTGATGTCTAAAAGTCACTTGAAAGTATCTAGGCCAATTGGCAAAATCACCTGTTACAAGTCTTAAACACCTACTAATTACTACGAACACTGGTGTATATATTGCGTACAGGATAATCTTTGTACTTTTATGCATGGCTAAGTATCAAGACTCAAGAGAGTGAGAGAGATGAGATCATGTACCCCAGAGAGCAGGAGCAAAGTCACGATCGTTCTTCCTCCACAGACCCCTCCTACATTTCTTCCTCGGGAAGAGCTTGAATCTCTTACCACGCTCAGGCTCAGACACAGCGACCTCTCGGCCCTCTGGTTTCTCTTCATCATCACCAGCTGCGGTCGAAACCCTCTTCAGAAGTTCAGAAGTCCATCGCTGTTTCTGCACACTGCCGAGAGCCTTCTCAGTAGTACTCTGACACAAGAAAGAAGAAGAAGAAGAAGAAGAAGAGGGACAGACCACCCTCTGTGTCAGATTCTTCAAAGCCATACGCGTCAAAGCCATTGCTAGGCTTTTATGTCCTCTGGTGTTAATGGCGACAATACGACAAAGAAGAAACTGCTTTGAATGTGGCGATTGTTGATGCTTTAACGAAATTACAAAGTTTATTATGATTGAATTTAAAGAGATTAATAGAGAGGAGGAGGAGGTTTGAGAACATCTCTATGAGGAGAGGAGACGTAGGTTCTAGGAGGAGTGGGTGGCACATGGCTAATGTGTAATCCGAAGAGAAGGAGATGTTTCTGGCTCGTTCCTTCTCAAAGGTGCCATTGAGTTCCAAGAGTGTGCAAGTCGGAAATGAATCTGATGCCACGTACTTACACTTTTGGCCTCTTCCCAATTANAGAGAAGGAGATGTTTCTGGCTCGTTCCTTCTCAAAGGCGCCATTGAGTTCCAAGAGTGTTCAAGTCGGAAATGAATCTGATGCCACGTACTTACACTTTTGGCCTCTTCCCAATTAAGATATCCGCATATCAGGAGATTGGTCTGGTGGGTATCGGTCTAACTCCTCCCTTTCAGGTTGAGAATTTGAGTCCCATTTAGTGGCTATGCTAGCCTTAGTTTAAGTGTAGTCTCCAAAAATATTTCAGGCGTGTCAGGGATCTTATAATTTTACTGGCAATGGCAATGGAGGTGGTCGTTGAACGCCCTTTCTTTCCGCCCCTTTTATTTTCTCAACAAAAAAAAAAAATTAAAATATCCATGTTACGATTCCTGCTGTTGCTGTNTTAAGTGTAGTCTCCAAAAATATTTCAGGCGTGTCAAGGATATTATAATTTTACTGGCAAGGGCTATGGTGGTGGTCGTTGAACACCCTTTCTTTCCGCCCCTTTTATTTTCTCAACAAAAAAAAAAAATTAAAATATCCATGTTACGATTCCTGCTGTTGCTGTTGGACATAAAATTACCAACTCCAAAATTTGTCCTCCTCCTTTATTATAAGAGCAATCCTCGGTGATCATAAGAATAATGGTACATGAATTTAAAATTAAGGTGACATTGAACCCACCAGCACATGTAGTTAATTATCGATCTTAAGCTTGATTTTCTCATGTTATCGAGTGGCTGAATCGAATTCATGTGCCTAATGTTTTGTTTGGTACGATGAAAAAATAAAAAGATAAAAAATTTGACAGATAGATAAAACATTATATTTGGTCATGAAGAAAAATAGAACAGATAAACAAGTAAATAAATAAACTTTTTTCTTAACTCATCAAAATTAATTTCTCCAAAATTAAGAGAAAAAATAGATGAAAAGTTAATTATATATGTTGAAATGTATATTATTTGTCTATATATATATATAATGGTAAAATATGTATTTAAATTTTTTTTTCAAAAAAAAAAAAAATTTTCCACCTTACAAAGCACAAAAAAATCAAGGAAAAATTTTAGTCACACCTCTTTTAGTTTACAATATATTCAAGGATGCCCCTCAATTTTTTGAATTTTCGCTGACATCCCTATCAGATTAAAAGTGTTAATTATAATATAATTTTATTAAATTGCTCATGATATATTTTAGAAAAATTTTTATCAATACCCCTTCTAGATAGACATATCTTCAATGAGACCCCCTCTATTTTTTTTTTAATTTTTTATATATTAAAATTCAAACCGATTAAAACTCAATTTCAGTTGACTAAAATTTGATTCGAGCCAACTCAAATTTTAATAATAAAAAATATAAATGTTAATCAACTCAAATAAAATTTTAATTAACACTGACAAACTTGGGTAGAACTCAAATCGACTTAAATTTAAATACGTTGAAAAAAATTTTAATATGCTCAAATTTCAATACTTAAAAAAATAAAACTTAATCAACTTGAATTGAATTTAACTCGGCTCAAATTTTAATATATAAAATTCGCTTAAATTTTAACATGTAAAAAAATAAATTTTAATCGACCCAAATTTTAATCAAATTTTATATGGANATAGAACAGATAAAAAAGTAAATAAATAAACTTTCTTCTTAACTCATCAAAATTAATTTCTCCAAAATTAAGAGAAAAAATAGATGAAAAGTTAATTATATATGTTGAAATGTATATTATTTGTCTATATATATATATAATGGTAAAATATGTATTTAAATTTTTTTTTCAAAAAAAAAAAAAATTTTCCACCTTACAAAGCACAAAAAAATCAAGGAAAAATTTTAGTCACACCTCTTTTAGTTTACAATATATTCAAGGATGCCCCTCAATTTTTTGAATTTTCGCTGACATCCCTATCAGATTAAAAGTGTTAATTATAATATAATTTTATTAAATTGCTCATGATATATTTTAGAAAAATTTTTATCAATACCCCTTCTAGATAGACATATCTTCAATGAGACCCCCTCTATTTTTTTTTTAATTTTTTATATATTAAAATTCAAACCGATTAAAACTCAATTTCAGTTGACTAAAATTTGATTCGAGCCAACTCAAATTTTAATAATAAAAAATATAAATGTTAATCAACTCAAATAAAATTTTAATTAACACTGACAAACTTGGGTAGAACTCAAATCGACTTAAATTTAAATACGTTGAAAAAAATTTTAATATGCTCAAATTTCAATACTTAAAAAAATAAAACTTAATCAACTTGAATTGAATTTAACTCGGCTCAAATTTTAATATATAAAATTCGCTTAAATTTTAACATGTAAAAAAATAAATTTTAATCGACCCAAATTTTAATCAAATTTTATATGGAAAGATTGTTTGAAATTTATATAAGAGTAATTTTGATATTTTAGATGATTTTTTTTGTTAGAAATGACGATTTAATGGCAATGGAAGTCAATGATGTTTATATATAAATTAAAAACGGTATGAGTGATATTTTAGATAATAAAAATGATGTCTTTAAAGATATGATAAACTAAAAGAAATGTAATTGAAATTACCCCAAAAACCAATCCGTCCTATTTTNAATAGAACAGATAAACAAGTAAATAAATAAACTTTTTTCTTAACTCATCAAAATTAATTTCTCCAAAATTAAGAGAAAAAATAGATGAAAAGTTAATTATATATGTTGAAATGTATATTATTTGTCTATATATATATATAATGGTAAAATATGTATTTAAATTTTTTTTTCAAAAAAAAAAAAAATTTTCCACCTTACAAAGCACAAAAAAATCAAGGAAAAATTTTAGTCACACCTCTTTTAGTTTACAATATATTCAAGGATGCCCCTCAATTTTTTGAATTTTCGCTGACATCCCTATCAGATTAAAAGTGTTAATTATAATATAATTTTATTAAATTGCTCATGATATATTTTAGAAATTTTTTTATCAATTCCCCTTCTAGATAGGCATATCTTCAATGAGACCCCCTCTATTTTTTTTTTTAATTTTTTATATATTAAAATTCAAACCGATTAAAACTCAATTTCAATTGACTAAAATTTGATTCGAGCCAACTCAAATTTTAATAATAAAAAATATAAATGTTAATCAACTCAAATAAAATTTTAATTAACACTGACAAACTTGGGTAGAACTCAAATCGACTTAAATTTAAATACGTTGAAAAAAATTTTAATATGCTCAAATTTCAATACTTAAAAAAATAAAACTTAATCAACTTGAATTGAATTTAACTCGGCTCAAATTTTAATATATAAAATTCGCTTAAATTTTAACATGTAAAAAAATAAATTTTAATCGACCCAAATTTTAATCAAATTTTATATAGAAAGATTGTTTAAAATTTATATAAGAGTAATTTTGATATTTTAGATGATTTTTTTTGTTAGAAATGACAATTTAATGGCAATGGAAGTCAATGATGTTTATATATAAATTAAAAACGGTATGAGTGATATTTTAGATAATAGAAATGATGTCCTTAAAGATACGATAAACTAAAAGAAATGTAATTGAAATTACCCCAAAAACCAATCCGTCCTATTTTTCATTCCTCTTACCAAAACACGAAAAGAAAAAGAATGATTTCTCTCTTGAAAGATAAAAAATGTATCGCTCCCACTTTTCATCTCCATCCATCCTAACAACGGACCATAAGAGTTTAGAACCACTGCATTTAGTATAATTGATTACTTTTTATTTTTAATTTTTTTTATTCAATGATCAGGAACATCTAGATCAATTTATGCACACTTCGACTAATCCCCTCCTCGGTCTGATCAAAAACAGGTCATCCACACCTGAACTAAAATATTTATGAGGGATAAATCTCTCGGATCTAATTCCAAAGAATTATCAAGACTCAAACTCAGGATGTTTCGTCTCATCTCATCCCATCTCCGTTACACCTTAATAGATTACTGTCCAATCCAGGTTTCAATAAAAGTCCCTTGAGCCAAATCCACCACATCCAAAATTTGAAGGGGCTACATTAATACTGGCACATTAAACTTTGGTGAAAACGGCAATCGAAAAGACAATAACCACATTAATACTGGTACATTTTCAGTNTTTAAAATTCGCTTAAATTTTAACATGTAAAAAAAAAAAATTTTAATCGACCTAAATTTTAATCAAATTTTATATAGAAAGATTGTTTAAAATTTATATAAGAGTAATTTTAATATTTTAAATGATTTTTTTTGTTAGAAATGACAATTTAATGGCAATGGAAGTCAATGATGTTTATATATAAATTAAAAACGGTATGAGTGATATTTTAGATAATAGAAATGATGTCCTTAAAGATACGATAAACTAAAAGAAATGTAATTGAAATTACCCCAAAAACCAATCCGTCCTATTTTTCATTCCTCTTACCAAAACACGAAAAGAAAAAGAATGATTTCTCTCTTGAAAGATAAAAAATGTATCGCTCCCACTTTTCATCTCCATCCATCCTAACAACGGACCATAAGAGTTTAGAACCACTGCATTTAGTATAATTGATTACTTTTTATTTTTAATTTTTTTTATTCAATGATCAGGAACATCTAGATCAATTTATGCACACTTCGACTAATCCCCTCCTCGGTCTGATCAAAAACAGGTCATCCACACCTGAACTAAAATATTTATGAGGGATAAATCTCTCAGATCTAATCCCAAAGAATTATCAAGACTCAAACTCAGGATGTTTCGTCTCATCTCATCCCATCTCCGTTACCACTTAATAGATTACTGTCCAATCCAGGTTTCAATAAAAGTCCCTTGAGCCAAATCCACCACATCCAAAAT